TATATCAATAAATAAGTCTTTCTTTCAAGAGCTTTCCTTTCATGAAAACACATATAGGGATATCTACTTTCCCAGAGATCCTGAGGAAAGCTTTGAAAATGCAAGCTCTTGCCCGCAGAAATCTAGAAGAAAGCTTGTAACATACAAGGTTTCTATATGGTTGTTTAAATCTAAACATGATTATCTGCAGAGATCTATAAAGAATCTTTTATAACATAAAAGAATCTATACACAATCTTTCCAATCTAAACATAATTATAAGCAGAGATCTAGAGGACAATTGTTAAAATAACCACTTTTATGGCCTGCTTCTTTTCTAATTATCTTGTTCCAAACCATCTGAATGACTGATTGTTGCTTCCAAACCATAATATATTTGTTCATATAGAGTGAGAGCAAGAATAGATATGTGTGTTTATATGGAGAGGGGCTGCCACTAAAGCATGTACCTAAAATTTTAGGGAAAACCAAAACCCAGGCCCCATGACCACCCGCTCTCAATTTTTAAATATATTGCTATAAAATATTGCTAAAAATACAACATACCAATTATCAATCAAACATCGTTATTGTTCTCTATAATATATTATTCATATATTCATTCATTCCATTCCATTTCATTTCATTTCATTTCATTGCATTTCATTCCCATTAAATATATCTCCCTTGCCCGTGTTGGGTTGTTACTATTCCGAAGCATAGCCGGAAGCTTGGTAACGCTCTGAAGCGCAAATCGGATGAATCGACCGCTATTCGGCATCTCAAAATCAGGTGTCAAAATTGCCCGCTAGAAGATCAACCAAGTCAGGTAGATTGTAGTTGGCCCACGGCTGATAGACGGCCGTGATGTTTTCTTACATGTTTATTGATTTTTCGTTTTATACGCTGTCGTTTTTGCATGTTTGCTTGAGGGGGATGTGGATGCTACGTGTGGGAATGGGGTGGGGTGGGGTGGGGCATGTTAACGTTCGGTTGCATTTGTTGCATGAAGTGGATGTTGTGTTCAATTGCTGCGCGAAAGTTTGACCTATGCCACACCGGCTCAGTTCTTGCGCTTGGAGGAGCTCTTGTGAAGATTGAAAAAGTCGCAACTTTTTCCGACGGCCCAATTAATTACGTAGTTTCAAAAATGTATCGAAATCAGCATTTCGCCTCAGCGAAACTTTCATTTTAAGCAAATCTGCTTGGAATTGGCCATGATTCCATTGATGAAATATTGGACACATCATTCCTAATGGAATTACGCACATTTCGACATAATTAACCCACGACCATCATTGATTTCCACCACGGCCATCTATCCGCCGTGTACCCAATTTTGATATAGATCGTCGTCGTCGGCCGCAATCGAAATCAGGCATATATCACGGTAGGCCTCAAGAGGTAATGCAAGGCTCCAGGAATAAAAATATCGTCAATCATGAATGTGGAGCCGCTTTGCCTCAGGCATACCTGATACTATCCCGTGTTAGGCTCTAGCCCACAACCCAAAAAGGCGTCCAAATGGTGCAAAAGCTTCCACGCTCTCGAAAGAATGGGAGTGTGGCCTCAATGCGCGGGCAATGGACGAGACCAACATATTTCTCTTGAAGAAATGCGAAGCGGCACCATTGCACCCAATTGCAAGCGCAACCCGGCCGGTGCACGAACAAAGGCATGCCGAAACGATTCCTATATTTACCATTATTCTATCAAATATTGCAAGATCTCATTTTGATTATATTGCAAGGCAATAAGTATATCCTCAAAACCGTGAACATGCACAATAAAGACAGAATCTTTCTTCCCAATACGGCACGGAAGGCTTAGCGTGGACAATTGTACATTTATATTGCATCCCTTAGCCATCCAAAAATGAATCAATCCATCCTATTGTTGCCCCATAATGCGATTAACATACAAATATTGCAAAAGGTATCCTATATATGTTTTAAGATGTAAATTAAATAAATTAATTATCAAATTTTAAATTACTATCAATAATATATTAAATTCTATTATTATATGTAATATATATTTATGATATGAATTAAATAGATCTATATTTATATATATATATATTGATATTTAATTATTAATCAATATCTATTTATAATATATATTCATTTATATTAAATCACAAAGAAAATTTTTATTTATTAAAATTATCATTAAATAATCGAAATATAGATCAATTTTTAATATATATATTTAAATAAATATAAAAAATATTTTTTTTTCCCCAAATAGTGTAGATCCATTCAGGGATTCTTATGACAGGAATATAACGATATCAATTGTTATTTCATTATTATTTACAATGAATTCATGCCTCTCGAAATAATCCAAATTTTCAATTCGATTGTGTAGGCTCACGAAATTTGCTTGGGCGCGATGGATACTTCTAACGATTACGTTTTCGTTGTGGTTTCATACATATTTTCATATATGGGGGTTATTTTTCGTAGCGGATGCAAGGAAAACCTCGTATTCTCATAATTCATCGTGATAGGGAAAACGAATCGGATTAATTTTATTTCGACATTCAATATGGCGCTGAAATTTTCGAGGCAAAATCATTTGAAATTTCATTCTTAGGACAATATTTCATAAATTCAATATATGAATTTTATTATAAATATAACTTGCATATATATGCAAATTTCCACCAAAACATTTCCTAAGCTTCTGCAAATGTTCGTAATAAATACAATATTTTATATATCTAAAAATATTAAATTTATAAAAATTATTTTAATTTCCTTTATTCGCCATATTCGCAAAAAATATTATAGCATTCGTACGTTTTATCTTTCGCCAAAATATATTGTAATTATCTATGCCATATATATTATATTTTATTTACGTTATTAATAAACATAAAAAAGAAATTTCATTATTTATCAATAAATATATATTTTATATTAAATTATTAATACCCTATCCATATCTTATATTCATCCTAGGTATTATAATAGCCGATTAATTGCCTACGAATCAAAACATAATTAATTATTTTATTGTAAATTTTAAATTAAATTTTTGTTTTTTTTATAAAATAAACATTTATAACATTATTTTCCCAAAATAAGAATAAATATAATAATAATCATATCCATAATTCTTATTTTTTCTCCCTTTCACTCATCATTCTCACGCACTCTCACTCATACCCACCTTCACTCTCATCACTCTCACTCACTCACTCATTCACTCACTCACTCACTCACACTCACACTCACACTCACACTCGCACTCACACTCACACTCTCACTCTCACCCTCACCCTCACCCTCACCCTCACTCTCACTCTCACTCTCACTCTCACTCTCACTCTCACTCTCAC